CCTGTACTAGCTTCAAGGTTTCAGGTCTTAATTAAGGTCTTTAATCTGCTTTGAGTGATACTTGCACAAGGTGATAAGCATGGATCTAGTTTCAGTTTTAGGAGGTGGATGTCCAGTTTTCCCTGCAAAATTTGTTAAAGAGGCTCTTTTCTCCATCATAAGTTCTTGGCACCTTTGTCAAAAATTAGGTGGGCATGGCTGCGTGGATTTATATCTGGATCTTCTATTCTGTTCCACAGATCTTCATATCTGTTTTTGTGCCAGTACCATGCTACTTTTATTTCTATGGCTCTACAGTACAGTTTGAAGTCAGTATTGTGATACCTACAGCATTGCTCTTTTTGCTCAGTATTGCCTTGGCTATCCACAGTCTTTTGTGCTTCCAAATGAACTTTAGGGTTGATTTTTCAATCTCTGTGATGAATGTCATTAGGATTTTAATGGGAATTGTGTTGGAGTTTTTGGGGTCTTTTAGGTATAAGATCATGTCATCTGCAAATAGGAATAGTTTGACTTCATCTTTAACTATTTGTATTCCTTTTATTTCTTCTTCCCGCCTTATTGCTCTGGCTAGGAATTCCAAGACTACGTTAAATAGGAGTGGAGAGAGTGGGCACCTTTGTCTCATTCACAACTTCAAAGGAAATGGTTTCAGTTTTTCCCCATTAAGTATGATGTTTGCTACAGGTTTGTCATATATAGCCTTTATAATATTGAGGTATATTCCTTCTATTCCTAGTTTCCTCAGAACTTTTATCATGAAGTGGTATTGAATTTTATTGAAGGCTTTTTCTGCATCTATTGAGATGATTAACTGGTTTTTGTCTTTGTTTCTGTTAATATGCTTTATTACATTTAATGATTTGTGTGTTGAAGCCGACTTGGTCATGGTATATGATCTTTCCAATGTGATGTGGGATTCAGTTTGCCATTATTTTATTTAGGACTTTTCCATCTATGTTCATTAAGGAGATTGGCCTGCAGTTCTCTGTTTTGGATGTGTCCTTGACCGGTTTGAAGATAAGTATAATACTGGCTTCATAAAGTGATTTAGCAGTATTCCTTCCCTTTCTATTTCATGGAAAAGTTTAAGGAGAGTTGATATTAGTTCTTCTTTAAAGGTCTGGTAGAATTCAGTGGAGAATCCATCAGGTTCTAGACTTTTTTTTTTGGTGGGGGTAACCTGCTGCTTCAATTTCATTATGTGTTACAGATCTGTTTAGGTGATTAATGTCCTCTTGGTTCAGTTTTAGATGGTCATGTATATCTAGAAATTTGCCCATTTCTTCTAGATTTTCCAATTTATTTGAATATAAGTTCTCAAAGTAGTCCCTGATGATTCCTTGGATATGCTTGGTGTTTGTTGTTATCTCTTTTTCATTTCTGATTTTATTAATTTGGGCCTTTTCCCTCCACATTTTAGTCAGGTTTGTCAGGGGTTTGCCAATCTTGTTTATTTTTTTCAAATAGCCAGCTTTTTACTTTTGTATAGTTTTTATGGTCTCTATTTTGATTTTGGTCTGTATTTTTATTATTTCTCTCCTGTTTGTTTTAGCTTTAGCTTGTTCTTATTTTTTCTGAGTTTGAGATGCAGCATTAGGTCATTTATTTGAGATCTTTCTGTGTTTTTAATATATACATTCATAAGTATAAACTTTCCTCTTCTGACTACCTTTGCTGTGTTCCATAGGTTCTGATAGATGTGTTTTCATTTACATTAAATTCCAGGAACATTTGATATCTGCTCTTATTTCTTTTTATGATCCACTGATCACTGAGCAACATGTTGTTAAGCCCCCAATTGTTTGTGTATTTTCTGCTGCTGCTTTTGTTGTTGAATTCTTGTTTTGTTGCATTATGATCAGATTGTATGTAGGAGGTTATCTCAGTTTTCTTATATTTGTTGAGACTTCTTTGTGCCCTAAGATATGGTTTATTTTGGAGAAGATTCCATGGACTGCTGAGAAGACTGTGTATTGTGCTGTTGCAGGATAGAATACTCTATCAGTTTCATCAGCTCTATGGTGATGAAACATATACATCTGTCAGTTTCATCAGCTCTATGGTGTTATTTAGTCCTAGGATTTCTCTGTTGATTTTTTTTTTTTTTGGTCTGGATGAGCTATCTACTGGTGATAGAGGGATATTAATGACTCTGACTACCATTGTGTTGAGGTCTATATATGCTTTTAAGTCCTGTAGTGTATGTTTGATGAAGTTGGGTGCACTGACATTGGGTGCATATAAGTTGATAATTGTTATTTCCTCTTGATGTATTGCTCCTTTTATTAGTATGAAGTGATCTTTTTCTCTTCTGACTAATTTAAGTTTGAAGTCCACTTTATCTGATAAGTATTGCTACTCCTGCCTGTTTTCAGGGGTCATTGGCTCGGTAAATCTTCTTCCAATCTTTCACCCTGTGCCAGTGTTTGTTTCTGTCCATAAGGTGGTATCAGGTATTCCTTTCTAATCCAGTTGCCAAAAGGTGTCGCTTGATGTGGGAGTTGAGTCTATGGAGTGTATTCTAAAGAGGCTATTTCTGTAGGCCATGCTGCCCAAGCTTAGGGGTGGGGTGATTTGGGTAATGTGAAACTGTACATCCTGTTATCCCAATGTGTATTTTCTTATACTTATGCTACACTGAGGTGCTGTTTTATCTCACCTAGTTTACTTAGCTCTTGTGAAGATATTTTCATGTGTGGGCAGTTAGTCAAACTGAGGTTTCTGTGAGGCAATGTAATTCTGATTTATTTGAATAAGACATTACCATGGTTTGACTATGTCTCCCAAATTTCACACATTGGAAACTTAATTCTCATTTTAATACTACTGGGAGGTAGAGCCTAATCAGAGGTGATTGGGTCACGAGGACTCTACCCTCATGAATGCCATTACTGTGGGAGTTGGCTGCTTATCACAAGGATGGATTGCTGATAAATACTGAGCTCCAGTCTCTCCTGATCTGTCTCACTCTTTCGCTCTCTCTCATGCATACTGTCTCACCATGTGCTGCTTCCACCATGTTAATAACACATCAGGAAGGTTCACATCAGGTGCCAACTTTTGATCTTAGGCTTCCAGCCTCTAAAACTGTGAGAAATAAACTTATAATTTGCCTACTGCCTGGCATTCTTTTATAGAAAGCAGCAGAAAATAAACAAGACACACATGATATTAGTTGCATCCATCCATTTTTAATGCCTAATTTACAAAATTCTTGAGGCTAAGTACATTATAATAAAAGTGGTTTAATTAGTTCAGTTTTGAAGTTATAGATCTAACACCTGATAAGCTCTGATCAAGGTCCTCTTGACTACATCATATGCCAGATGGCATAATGAAGGGAGTGCATATGAGAGAGAAAGACAGGAAGCCAGAGTGAGGGTAGGTTAGTTTTGCACGCTCTCTCTCTCTTATAGTAACTCTCCTGCAAGAACTAACCAGGATCCCATGAAAACTACCTTAATAGCTTCAGAGAGAAGCTTAAATATCTCCTTCTAGGCTCTACCTCTTAAAGATCCCATGATATCCAATATTACCATACTGAGTACCAAACCTCCAACACATTTATTTACCTTTGGGTGACATATTGAAGCCATGTGCGAACCATAGAACTAGATTATACTAAATAGTTACAAATGCATATCATTTTTGTATTATCTTGTCTTTGTCATTTCTATCTGACTATAACACTATGTTCTTTTATTATTTATATCTTCTTTTAATAGTTCTCAAGTAGTATCTCTAGTAGTTCATCAACAACTTCAACTATGTGCTGTGTTTGAAAACAGCTTAAATATATATACAATAAAAATTAAAATAAAAGTCTCAGCAATGTTTTAAAAAACTTCCTTATGCCAAGCATGGTGGCATATGCCTGTAACCCCAGGATTTGGGGAGTAGAGAAATGAGGATCATGAGTTCAAGGCCATCCTGAGCAACACAGTAAATATGAGGCCAGCCTAAGCTATATGGAAAGGCACTGTATCAAAACAGACAAACAAATAAAAACACCAGTACCAACAGAAAGGACTTCCTTAAGAATAATGCCTACTTTCGTTGAATCACCTAAGAAATTAATTTTTGTTTCTTAAATGACAATTTGACTTTTAAATTTAGTTTCTTTTTATTTTACTCAGTGTTCAGTATAGGCTAAGCTTGCTGGATAATTGGCTTCTATCTTGTCTAGCAGACGCATATTTGTTACTATTAAATATTAGAATCTGCAGTTATGTGGTTCTTTGAATTACTGGCCTGCTCAATAAAATCACAAAACATATAAACACTTTGAAATACACAAATATAGTATACATACATACAAAGTACATATATAACAAGCTCACTGAAAATGCTGATTAAAACTTCAGAAAATGTATAGTACATTATCATCATTTAATAGTTGAATAAAGGTCCAGAAAGCTCCAGTGAATTTTTCAAGGAAACACTAACATATCTAGATTTTCCCAACACTTTGACCAAAGTGTCTACCATCACGATATCCCAGTTCCCTGTATATTTTATTTACTCAGCAATTACTGAATGTTTACTATGTTCTAGATACTATTACATACTGAAAAGAGAAAACATGAAGTTTATACCTAAGTGAAATAATACTATCTTGATGATGTTTAGTGGTGTAAAAATTTTTGCTCAAATTTATTTAATCTTTTACTGGGGAACTTGAAAAACTCCCAAGACCAAGAAAGTTGGTTATATTTATACAGGGAAAATTGCTTACCAAATTGAAATTCTAATAGTTATTACCCTTCTTTAGGAATAACACAGATCTATAGTGTATTCAATGTAATGACTCAAATGTTTTCATAAATTACATAGTATTTCTTATATAGAGTTTCTAAAATATTTTCTATACAATCATATAAGCCTCCTTTAATCATCAAAACATCTATTTGTTCATTGTTTCTTTACATTATTATAATCAACCATAAGTCTTCAAAACAATTTTATCTCTCTAAATTTCTACAATATATATCACTTACATATTCCCACCAATATGAAAGCCAAATAGGTCTTGTTAAAGATCCAGCAACGTCCTTTGCGTCCACATTTATTACTATCTCGAAAGGTACAAGAAGTTTGTATTGTCCATTCAAAGATCAATGGTCCAGGTATTGTTCCTGTGAAATATTCAATGATTGTTCTCCATAAAAACACTAGTGGTCAGGACATAATAATTTCCTACTAAAATGTCACTCTAAGCACATTGCTTAAAATTATCTAATAATTTACTTATGAATAGGAGCATTAATTTCTAGAAGCAATGAGTTTTCTAAAAATCCTTATCCCTCCATGTATAAAACTAGTATTAGATTGAAATATTTTTAGAATTTTGTAATGCTGTTATTTATAAGACATCTCAAAATATTTGATTTTTGCATGAAAAATTTAGGAGAAATATTTAGAACAGAGACACTCCATGTTAATTCTGTGAACTTGCTATAAAGATATATAATTGTGAAATTTCTAATAATGGAAAAACGAGTTCACAATATATACCTTCTATTGATCAAGATCTTAAGAAAAAATAAATAAAAACACAAATGCTTTGATATGTACAGAGTATCCCCAAATTCAGATGGCATAAGAAACCTTTTCATACTCTCAGAGACAACATCTCCTCAGCAGCAATGCTACTTTCAGCTAAAAGCAAATGAACATCACACACAGTCATTCCAAAAGCACCAGACTGGGTTCTCTAAACTAATGTCTCTAATGGTTGACCATTGTCCTGAAGAAATGGGGTCAAAGTGTTCTTATCCTGTGACTCTTGATGTCTGCCAATGCCCATTACCTAGATTTTTCCATCTCAGTGAGTGATGGCATTCTTTTTTTTATCATTGCTCACAATGAAAAACCTAAGTCTACTATTTACTATTTCTATTTCTCTTCAGCTTTTTCAATCTCTCACAAACTTTATAATTGGCATTCTAAACCTATCTTGGATATGTTGATTTCTCTTTAGCGCCACAATAAACCCCAGATTCCAATTTAATACGAAATTGGAATACCTTCAGTAAAAGCATGCTTTTTCTTTCCCATACATATCCCATATAATCATTTGTCCCTCCGGCATCAGAATTATCCTTTAGATGTAAATAAGATAGTATCTATCCTCTGCTAAAAATCTCTGGTGGCAAAGTCTTGCATTATCCTGAGAGAGTTTGTATATTTATTATCTTATTCTTCCTCTCCCATTCAAAAATACATCAGCCTCACTGGCTTACCTTCTGAGGCAGCAAACTGCCTATGTACTTGCCCCCTGGGCTACCTCTTCCATTACAAATCACTCCTCATCTAGTAGATCATCTTCTGGCGTAAACACATGCTCTAATTTTTCCCAGCTAAAAAATTTAACTTTATTTTATTATTTTTTAAAATTATTCATTTATTCACATGCACATACATTTTTTGGGTCATTTCTCTCCCTTGCCTCCCTCCCCTACCCTCTCAAAATTTAACTTTAAACACACACACACACACTGATTTAGCTGTGATTTTTCTGATCTCCATCAGATCCAAACATATTTCTTTTCCCACATGCATTTCAGTCTTTTATCCTGTCTAATCTAGTTTCCTTACCTCAGCAACATTTCAACATTTCTAATCCAGTTCTCGAATCTGAGGCTCTAATACAGTCATAATATGGATTAGAGTTATAGATTTTGTTATTTAAGAAAGCCTAAAAAAAAAGATCACATTACCTCCAAAAAAACCAATTTGTTGCTGGGAATAAATAGATCAATGCAAACACCAGATTCAGTGTCTTGGGTGATAAAATGCTATAAAGAACTAGTCTCATTAAATAACTTTCCAAACATGCAAGAAATGTAAAGTGTTTCTGGTTATACAAATGTCTTGCATCACATCCCAAACCACTTGTATGAGAAGATAAATATACATCAAATCAAATGATTGTACCATCTGATCCTATATTATTGATGCATATAATAATATCAATTATAATGTGACAGGAAGTACACTGTCTTAGACATCCTCTCTTCACAAAAACTGCCTCCTAAATTTTTCAAAGCCATTCCCTATTTACTTGTTTGGTCATTTTACATTATAATTTGTTTATAACTACAGATAGACATATATACATATCAAAAATGAAAACTTTAATGTAATAAAATTGCTAAAAGTCCATACCAAGTAGTCTCAAAATCACATAGGATAAACCCAAGGCCAGAGAATGGAGTCTTTCAGGTACAATCCTGAAAACAAAACACTGATATTACTAGCTATAAATAATATGTGCTGGGTTAATGGTTAATTTTTTTTCTTACTCATCAGTCATATTAATAATCCTCAGCCAGTTGACAGTTCAATCTGGCCTATTAAAAGAAGGCAACTCCTTCCAGTTCTCATTTTCAGGCTCTTCACAGTTAGAAAGAATTTTATGGCCCAAATCTTCTGCCCCAGCCTCCTTTTTCTTTGCTGAAATAACTGAGCTCTAGCTTGCACACTTATCTTTCTTCATTCTGTCATGCCCGTCATTTTGGATTCCTTTTTGGCCTCATAAGATCTCCTTTCTACCTTTTTCTATGGAAGACTTGCCTTTTGGCTTCTGACTGAGTTCTATCAACGTGGTACTCTGAGTGAAGGAGGAAAGTGAGATCAAGGTCTTTATCAAGGTTCTTCCATGTATACTCACTACTCACACTCAGTGAGTTCTATAGGCAAAGTTTCTCTACATGCAAGTTTTCTTCCTTCCCCCACCGCCCTTGTCCTTTGGCCCTGAGATGGTAACATACTGAAGGTACTGTACTATGTCTAGGCATTCATTCCATCCTGCACACACTTGTGTGTGTGTGTGTGTGTGTGTGTGTGTGTGTGTGGTGGTGGTGGTGGTAGTGGTAGTGGGGCTTGAACTGGAGACTTGCTTTTGCTAGGGAGGACCTTTACCACTTGAAACATGCCTCCAGCCCACATCTTAAAGAACCACTTCATTAAATTTTGCTTAAATTGTTCTAATTTGAGGGTACCCTCTCTTTCTTCTTGGACCTCTATTATATTCACTTTTCGGGAAATGACTTTCCCAAATATTAAAAAGTGAAGATTTCTGTATTTCCTATATTGATTAAATCAAATATTTATTTTAAAAAAGAAAAATAATGTGTGATAACACATCAGTAGAAAACAAAATAAAAAGAACAATAAAAGAAAAAATAGAACTAGTCTTTCAGCATTTTTTTAAAATGTAAAAGCTACATTTTAAATGCATGATTTTATAGAAATTCTCTGCTTACTGATGGTTCCTTGTATTAATACTTGAAAACCAAACAGTTTGTAGTACGAGCAATATTTTCATCCAAAAATGCCCTATTTATAAAGTAGCACATGTATAGTATTTTGTAATATTTTACAAAAAGTGAGATAATCCTTATCCATATCAACTGGTTAAAATACGTCTTTCTCAAATGCTTACTAATAGGAAAATGAAAACAAATTAATTATTTTTCTTTTCATTTTTGTGGTATTGGGTTTGAACTCAAGGCTTTGCACTTGCCAGGCAGGTTCTCCACCACTTGAGCCACTCCTCCATCCCAAATTAACCAATTTATATTTTATATAAAATAAGTTAGTATTTATTATTCACTAAATGCAGGTTGGATAAAGAGAGGTTTAGAAAGTAAAGTGTTGCATTAGAACCAAATTCTAATATAAAGCTTTGATACAAAACATCAAAATCTTGGCAATATGCTTAACTACAATCCAGTGTTCTGAATGTTTTAGTACAAGTGGTTTTCTTATATGTAAATGATAATGTTTCTCTCTTAAACACATATATACTCACAAGTAAACTCATTAGGAAATAATATTTATGTATCCTTAGTTTGATTTCAACCCTCTTTCTCAAAACAAGTTGAAAAGTTTAGTGATTTCCAAGTTTCCAATAGTTCATATATTTAAGTTCCAAATATATGAACTTAAAAATAACATTCATGGATACAACCCCAAAATTTTAATGAAAAAGACTATGTTTTAACATCAAAGTGAATACTTCTTTAAATATTTTGTCTGATAAATAAAGCTATAGTGCAATGACTTAAGGATTATATGGAGTAAACTGAAAATTAGTCACTACTCTTCCAAAATGTAAAAAGAAGCTTCCATATCTTATATGACCTCTACATTGATATTTTAAATTCATGCATCTCTTATAAAAATCAGTTCTAGACATAAGTTTCTATCTTGAACAAAATTTGCTCTACCCCCTACTTCTCCCAAATCTCAGGAAACAGAGACAAAATCCATGCAGTTCTCAGGTCCACACCCTGGAAAGAGGTATCTGGAGATCACTCACCACAGAAAATCTGCAACCAAATACTTCAATTTTAAAAAGTTTCTCTTTCTCTCTCTCTCTCTCTCTCTCTCTCTCTCTCTCTCTCTCTCACTGTCTCTCTATCTCCCCCTCCCTCCGTCTCTTCCTCTTCTCTCTGTTTTTCTTCATCTCTAATTCCCTTGGGCTATTCCAACCCTATATTTTTGACCTAAAAATTAAAGAATTTCTTAACTTATTCCCAAATAATCATCTTTCATCCCTTCAGTCTATTTTCCAATAAAAGCTAAAATAATTTTAAAAGTGAAATTCTGACTACTTTACTATTTGATAGTAGAATCTGTCCAATGCTTCCCATTGTTTTTAGAATAAAAGCTAGAATTGAAAAAAAATTTATAGTGGTCAGCCTGATGTCCTCAGACTCATTCCATGTTGCCTCCCCAATTTTGCCCCACCACTCTCTTTGCTCTCCTATATTCTACAATGCAACATTCTTCTAAAGCTGTTTCTCCTACATGAAATCTTTGCATGTGTTTACTATGGCTCTTGTAGTATTATTTGAACTCCGCAGGTGGGGGAGGTGTGAGAAACAAGTGCGAGAAACCAGCCTCCTGGAGTGGGGGTGTGGCAGATTGCTGGGCTAATCTCATGGGACTGTGGGCATTGCACAAGACTGAATTGCCCCACCTGGTTGGGGGAGGGGCGACCATCCAGAGTTGCAGCTGTAGAGCACTTCAGATGCCACCTGACAAAACAGCAACATATCTGACTACCTTGCACAAACTTGTAGTGAGCAATCATAAACCCTAATTGCAACCTGCCTTGTGGGCAGAAAGAACCAAGTACTATTCTCAAGCCAGCCTCCTAGTGAGACCACTTCAGAGTTCCCACTTGTAACAGACCAAGGAAAACAGGACTAAAAACCCCCAGCTGACTTCCCCCTATGTTGTCTGACAAGAAGGGAAGCACCCTTCCCTAGACAGCCCAGAATACAAACCCTGAGAAGAGACAGGGACACTGAGAAACCACCAGTCATAAATGGGGACTTTTCCTTTGCTTAAGTTACTTACTCAGTAACTCAAGTCCAGTTCAGTAACTGAACTGGAAATAAGTCCAAAGGAATAAGTCCAGAACCTTTGCTGAACTGACCTTACTTTTTTTTGTTGTTGGTATCTTTCCTTAGTTTCCCCCTTTTTTCTTTAGTATTTTTAATTTTACTATTACTGTTTTCTTATCTCCATTCTTACTCCCTTCACTTCCTCTCATTTTCTTGTGCTTCAGTCCACTGTTCACCCCCAGCTATTTTTCTGCCCCTTTTCATCCACTCTCTCCCTGGCTTCACCTCCCCCGCTCATCTTGCTGTACGTATCACACCACTGCCCTTCCTCCCTCACACTTCCCACAGCTCGTCAGCCTACTGTACCAGCCCTACATCTCTCTGCAATCCCTGACACAAGCACCATCCACTACAACAACTGAGCTATACCCACACACAAGGGCCTTAAAACCATTTAGCCCCACAACTCTTCTTCCCCCACCCCATGCCTTCTTTATATCTCCCCTCTTCAGTGCCACCTTTTAAAATTGCCCAAGTCCTGACCACTATCCAAACAACCATGACTCCCCCAATTCCCACTTGTTTATACACATTCTCACTAAGGGGTTCTCCATATACTATGTAAACAACTGATCTGGCATTGAACTTGTGAATCTGTTGTTAATTTACACTTCTTTGCCAGGACAGAAATAGCACATCAACCTAGCTAATGACTAAGCCAGTCACAACACAGTAATTAAGCCAAGGGAAAGAAAACAGGTGACCCCTCAAAAGACCAACAATACATATAGGAGATTTATTGGGAAATGAAGAAAATAAATACCCAGTTCTTGACCCCAACAGAACAACAATGAATATGACCAATGAGCTTAGTAATGTCCATAAAAAAAAAATCACTCAAAGAGGAAATCATGAATGAGCTCACTGGGATACTCACGGAGAAGCTAAAAGAGATAGTTAAACAGAATGTACAGAATGAATGCAAACAATATCAAGACACTACAAATAAAAACCTGAGAAGACACAGAAACAACTAAATGAACTCAGAGAGGACTTTAACAAACTCCAAAGTGAAAAAGGAGATTATAAAAATGATATACTAAATAAAGAAGACAGCACAGATATGAAAGAAGAGTTTAACAAAGATATGGAAAACCTCAGGAAGAAGAATCAAACAGAAATCCTGGAAATAAAAAGTCTTTTAAATCAAATAAAAAATACAGTTGAAAGCCACTCCAGCAGACTAGAACAAATAGAAGACAGAATCTCAGGTCAAGAAGACAAAATAGATATTGAAGAAAAAAACAGAACTCTTAGACAAAAGACTCAAGAGCTGCAAAAGGAACATGCAAGAACTTAGCAACTCCATCAAAAGACCAAACCTGTGAAACATGGACATTGAAGAAGAAGAGAGGAGGTGTAAGCCAAAGGGATGCATAATATATTCAACAAAATAACATCAGAAAATTCCCCAAATCTTGAGAAAGAATTGCCCATTCAGGCACAGGAAGCCTCCAAGACACCAAACAGAAGTGACCAAAATAGAACCGCACCACAGCATATTATCATTAAAACAATTAGCACAGAAAACAGAGGAAGAATATTGAAGGCTGTAGGAGAGAAAAAAACAAATAACTTCTAAAGGTAAACCCATCAAAGTAACAGAAGATTTCTCAATAGAAACCTTAAAAGCAAGAAGGGCATGGAGCAAGGTATTTTGAGCACTGAAAGAAAATAATTTCAGCTCTAGGATACTCTACCCAGCAAAAAGTAACATTCAAAATTGACAGAGGAATAAAAGTCTTCCACAATAAGCAGAAACTAAAACAATCTATGGCCATCAAGCCACCACTTCAGAAGATTCTACAAGGAAT